CCGGCGGATCGCAGCTGCTGACAGTAACACGCCGGTCTCTGCCCTAGGCATCGTCTTCAACACTGGGGCCGGACAGCACATCCTGAAGAACCCCCTCGTGGTGAACAGCATCATCGATAAGGTGGGAGCGGCGGCGGGGCCGGGACCTGCCGGGAAAGCGCGGCCGTGCGGGGCCCTCACCCTGGCTCCGGCCTTCCCCGGGCAGCGGGGGAACCTGCTGCTGAACCGCGGCTAGTGCCATCATCGGCCTCTGTGTGTGTGTTTTGCCACCTGTGTGTGTGCCTTTGTGTTTGTTTTTCTCTTAACGTGGCTGCTCGCTGGTTCTTTCCGCGTGGCCAAGCGATGTGGCGCAAACCAGAGCCAGGACGTTCTTATCCTCCCCGTTTCCCACTCGTCCCTTTCTAAACGACTCTCACGCTCCCTTGATACCCAGTTCCAACTTCTTACTGCGTAAAAAGCGCTGACTTTCATTGAAAATTCAAATGATTGCACGAAATGGGTGCTAGGGGTGCACTCAAAATGCTGTTTGTCCCTAGGCTGCCCTGCGCCGAACAGATGTTATTCTGGAAGTGGGCCCGGGAACTGGAAATCTGACAGTAAAGATGCTGGAGAAAGTCAAAAAAGTAAGTGCAGATTCTCTCACATACATCTCCTTTCTGGGCTGTGACTATGCTGTGGCTTAGACTACGGCAAACAGAAGGGTCTTCATAGGCATGATGCACATAAGTAGAATTACTCCATTGATATATTATTATTTATTTATTTGAATAATCTCAATGGGTTTTTAGCTGCTCATTTAAACTCTGTGTTGTTTTATCAAACTGCATTGCTGTTTCCATTGATGTGATAAAAGCTTGTGTGTATCTAGAGAGGGAGGAAGGTGCATACCCTAATAGGGGTTTTTAAAGGATTCTTTAAACTCATAGCAGTAGATGGGGATTTTAGCAACAGGGTTGGGGTTTTTATGATTAAATTTCATATAGAAGTTGCAAAAATACATACTTTTTCTCCAGGTTATTGCATGTGAAATTGACCCTAGACTTGTTGGTGAACTTCAGAAGAGAGTTCAGGGCACGTAAGTATAAATTTTGGAAACAGGGAGAGCTTAAAGCAGCGGAGCTACTTTGGTACAAATTTTGGCAAGCTGCTTATATGAGGATAACCTCAATGTATCTTTTTCCCCAGGTGTCTAGCAAACAAACTTGAAATCAAGGTTGGAGATATCTTGAAAACAGACTTACCCTTCTTTGATGCGTGTGTGGCTAACTTGCCTTACCAGGTATGGGCCAAGAAACATAGCATACAACATAAAAAATATTTTAAAATGCTAATTTCCCAGAAATTATACTAACATGATTAATTTTTTCCTCAGATTTCTTCACCTTTTGTTTTCAAGTTATTGCTTCATAGACCTTTTTTCAGGTATGTGGAAGAATAGAGCTTTATATTACCTGGGGGGAAGGACTGTTTTAAAAACTATTTTGTTTTAAAATTATTTTCAGATCCAATATTTTTTTAATTGATAAAATAGTAGTTTGAAGGATCAGAGCTGCATTAAATTTTTTCTATAATACATAGCTATTTCCAGGGACATAGATAGTGCCTGGAAATTAAGTTTATGTTGATGTATTGAGCATGAGGAGAAAATTTAAACTTGGCAACAGTGAGTGCCCAGCAGATAAAAACAGGAGTTATGCCCCCTTAGTATTACAACTAAGTATTGTTCTAGGGATAAGAAGGGCATTATTGCATTTCAGTGCATTTCATTTACCTTCCTACCTAAGTTAGGCTTAGTAAAGGGTAGAATCAATGCCAAGTCACTTTCTTTTTGTCTGATCTAAATATTTAACTGCCTTGTCTGTGTGTCAGACATCAGTATGTCAGCAGCTCTTGATTTCTTTCAGAGGCATGTTGGTAACATTACTGGTGAATTTTTGGGAAGATTGTATCTGAAGGATCCAGCATAGAAATACTAAAAATGATTTATGTTACAGTCAGGCAACTCTGAGACTAGACTGTCTCTTTGACTGTCTCTGATCCATTTAGCAGTATAAATAATCAAGTTATGTAACAGCATTAAGGAGACTTAGATGGCTTCGCCAAGTTCTGTGATGGGTTTTGGGTTTTTTTCAACACACTTTTTTTCAACAAGTAATTACGGCAGAGTTATTTATTATGAACTTTTACTCTTCTAAGTGATGAGGCAGACGTGTGTGTTTTCCAAGTGTGTTAGTTGGCTTTTGGCATAAAAACTGATTACTCAGAGTTGATGTTCTCATTTCTGTTACTCTCAGGTGTGCAATCCTTATGTTTCAAAGGGAATTTGCACTTCGTTTGGTTGCAAAACCAGGAAGTAAACTGTACTGCAGACTCTCTGTTAACACTCAGTTATTGGCTCGAGTGGACCATCTGATGAAGGTACGTCATTCTGCATGTAGGCAACTCAGCTATCAAACACAGGACAGTGGTGCAAGGGATATGAGAAATTTGCTTATTCACACAGCTGCTTGACTGCTCTTAACTAACAGGTTGGAAAGAACAACTTCAGGCCTCCCCCCAAAGTTGAATCCAGTGTTGTCAGAATAGAGCCAAAGAACCCACCACCACCTATCAACTTCCAGGTGAGCAGAGTATACTCAACATAACATGCTAGTAATAATAATTAATTTAATTTTTCTTTACACTTACTACTCAATTCCATGTGCAGATTCTAGTACAAACTACCAGTTATTCATTGGAGTTTCCAAAATGCTTATTTCTATGCTGATCAGACTTGTGTTAAGACATTAACAGAACATGCCACCATCAACAGGGTGCAGCTTTGTGTACAGTATTTCTTATAAGACCAGGGTCAATTGGGTACCTGCTAGTAATAATGTCCCTTTCATCATTGTTTATGTCTCCCAGAGATGCTTCTGGCTGATGATTTTGCAGGTTTTGATCAAGGGAATGTATGAGATTTATCTTCAGATGAGTGTGTGTAATCTCAGAAGACAAATGTTACTGAAGAGTATCCTTAATTTTAAAACATGTCAAGACCATTTCAGCCATGCCCAAGGTTAGCCAGATTTTCTTAAAGTATCTGCCTTCTCTGCACGTAATAGCACCTAGGCACGAAAAAGTACAATTCAAAGGCTTTGGGGAGTAAACTATTTTCTCCTCCATTCATATTGCTTTGTCCAAGATACAGCTGGGTTTGTGCTGTTTAGAAGGATATTTTCATGAAGGATTTTCCTTTGTGTTCAGTATTGTTCTGAGGTTGCCAGTAGACTGTTCTTTTTTGTAGTAGCTGTATGTTACTTCGTAAAATTCTGAAATTTTTAATTTCAGGAGTGGGATGGTCTGGTAAGGATAGCCTTTGTTAGGAAAAACAAGACACTCTCTGCAGCATTTAAGTAAGTAATTTCTATCAAAGGAAATATTTTTTGAAGTTTGAAAGCCTATCCAGTTAACCATTTATTTTGTGCAAATGCATAGCAGTTTTACATAGCCAGTGGTAAATGATGGTGGAAGATTATTCTGATGTCACAAGCTTTTTTTTGTTAGAAGAAAACTAGTCAGCTGTTTAAAAAGAACAGTTCTGTGTAATCTCTACAGTTTTTTGTAGTAGACATTAACAACCAATCAAGTGAACAATAGTTACATCTCAGTTTTTATGCTAAACATGTATTTCTTTCAGATCAAGTGCTGTAGAGCAGTTGCTGGATCATAATTACCGAATTCATTGTTCCTTACATAATACAGTAAGTTCCTTCTTAATCTATTACATTCTATTTCTGTATGTGACCTACATACTAACTTTTTTATAAGAATCAAAAATTTTGAAAACATTGAAAAGCTTAACGTATCAAAGGTTTTCCAAAAGAGCTTAGAGGTGGGAGGAACCTTCCTTTTTTCTTAGAGAAAAATCTAAAAGGGTCATTAAATCATAGTGAAAAACTTAAAATCAAGTATGTTATTACAATATTGTCCATAGATGTATGTCTGAAGGTCTTTTACTAATTTAATAATTAGTCTGCTTTTCAATACTGTTGTGATTCATATGTAATGAATGATTGAGATATAATGAATGAACTGAGATACAAAAATTCAGATACAATAGAATAATAAAATAATCCATAGTAGAAAAATTATAACTTTATCACTTGAATAAAGAACTGTTCTAAGAGCAGGAAAGAATTAGATTATTTAAATGTACATTTTTCTGGGTTATGAGTAGAAAATAATTTCTATCCCATTTTTTATTGACAGGAAATCCCTGAAAACTTCAAAATTGCAGAGAAAATACAGACAGTTCTAAAAGATACAGGTTACTCTGAAAAACGAGCCCGTTCAATGGATATAGATGATTTCATTCGGTATTCTTTTTTTTTTTTTTTCTTTATGCCTTCCTTTTAAGCTTCTTTAAATTCTGTTTGCATCTGTACCTGTGTAGCATAGATTATTATTGGGTTGCACAGGAATAGTAGAGTTTCCCTCTCAGTACCAGACTCTCCTTGCTTCCAGTCCTGAACGTGAGCAAACAATTAAGGCCTACTAATATATTTTAAATGCTGTTTATAATATTGTGGAGCAACTAGGTAAGGATCCGTATTTCAGGTTTTTGTGTACTAGACCTTTCTGTGTCTTCTTTTAAAATGGCCATAATGTAAATTGGTTATTAAAATTTCCCCTAGAGTCTTACACAGCCTTTCTGTGCCTTGAGGATAAGGCCACGTATAGCATAATTTTAAACATGAATAATTAACGTCTATATTCTGCTCTTACTTACGGTGACATCATGAATCCTTTCATAATTTAACATAAAAGTTCCTAGCTGTTTCTCATTTGGAGAACTAAGACAGGTAATGCTCTCTGAAGAAACATCATGAACATGGTAGGATTCAACATAAGGAACTGCATTGAAAATAAACCTGCATCTCTAAAATTGCAAATTTGCTAATAACTTCTGGTTTCAGATTTGTAAAAATTCTTTCTTTGCTGTTGATCAGTGATGACTGCTTTCATGCTGTTTTCTTTGCACATGTTAGAAATGCCTCAAGCTGAAGTTTAAATGGCCAGAATTGTAATACACATATTTCACTCTTTCAGATTGCTACATGGCTTCAACTCAGAAGGCATCCATTTTTCATAGATACTGCTAGAAGAATAAAAGATGAAAGATGCTATGTATATGTAAAGATGTATTTTTTCAGCAAAGTTTTACCCAAGCCAGAGTGAGTGCAATACAACAAGCTCCTCATAAAAGCAATGAACAGAATATGGCATATATGCTTGGACTCAAAATGTTAGATGTGGTTTTATCGCATACAGAAGGCAAGAAGCTGCTGCTCAGTATTTTAAAAGCAGTAAATTCTTTCAGAGCTAAAGTGAGGTGCTGGACTACCTCATGACCGTGTTTTTCTACATATATCCAAAACATGGATTGAGGATAATTGACATCTGTGTTCTCTGATCGTGGGCTTCACGTGCATTCATGCACAATACTCAACAGAACAACTCATAAGGGGTCTGGACAACAAAAAGAAAGTTGTACTAATTCTTTTTTTTTTTGTATCAGTCATTTGTGTGTTTGTTTTAAAATATATTTAAACACTTCCTTTTGGTTTGAGATGCCTGTCCCTCTCATCCCTCTGGTACTCCAAGCCTGTCAGTAATCTGCATCTCATAGAGAATCCCAGTGTTTCTCAGAAAAGAATTTACTTTATGGGATTGATATCATTTACAGAAGTGCCTTTACCTTCTCCTCCATTTTGGGAACTGGAGAAAAACTACCAGTGGGCCAGGGCTCATAAACACAGACAGCAGGGTGTTGTAGTTGATAGCCTGAAATGTGTCTTTTCCCATTTTTTAGTCGTGATTCTCCCCCCACCCCCAGCTTCTCTTTCTCCTAACTGTTTACCTGGCGTCAAGTTACCACAGTTACTGAAGTTTCTCTCCTCAGCCCCACGGTGAGAGGCCGGATAGAGTAAAGAGAGGACCCCGCTGGCATTTCCAGCTGCTTGAAGTTTCTTTAGCCCAGGAAAGCACGGGGTTGAGAGAAGAGAACTCTTCTTTCCAACACGGAAGTTTGTAACTCTGTTTTTCCTGTCCCAGAATGCCTCTAAACTATGGAAGCTGAGAGGGTATGCTCACCTTGCCTTCCCTTTCTTTCCCCCCTGGGTTGCCAGGAAACCAAGCCCCCCCTCTCTCCTCCGCTGCCCCTCTGTGGAGAATACTCCTACACCTTTGAGGGCATTTGAAGAAGTTGGTGTCTGTTATTTCTTATCTTGGTGTGTGTAACCTTGATTTGTAGAAAGTTTGTAAGATGTACTAACTGAGAAAAATAATTGGTTCTTTCTCTGATGTTCCCTCCCTCCGAGAAACCCTGTTAAAAGAGACCCCCCAGACCCCAAATCCTTGGTCTCTCGTCCTTTGGATTCCCCTTCACAGAAGTAAACTGTGGAACGCAAACCAGAGAGAGAGTCCCCCCCCTGATTTCTTTACTTGCTCTATAGACTTGAATTCTTGAAGAAAATCAGTGAAACCCACAAACATATGCTGGCTCAAAACTCGAGTGAAGAGAAACCTCATCACTGAGCTAGCCGGGTCACACTCGAGAAGATCGAGTCAGCAGGGTTGGGTTTTTGTTAACTAAATTAAACCAGCTATTTTTTACGGTAACTACTCCACTGTTAGGGGAGGAAATAGCCTTCAGTGAAATTTAGAGCATGCATGCAAATTAGCAAAACCTCCTCTAATAAAAACTTTGTACACATCATTGAATCGTTAAGGTTGGAAAAGATGTCCTAAGACTTGAATTCAACTAGCAGCCCCATTGACATCCCGTTTTTTAAAAGTCCTTGATTCAGAAGCATGTATAGAAACAGGCACTCAAATTTACAGGCATCTTGAAGCATTGACATCCTGAAGCAATTGCTTCAATTCTGCAAAAACTGAACTTGCACATTTATTTCACAGTTTTAAGAATTCAGTAATTCTAGTGCTGCTTCACTTTATGCAGAACCTAATGCTGAGTTAATTAAATAGGAATATGGTTGGACTAACACAGAAGGAACAAATGCTGAAGATGTGTCATACTTCCTTAATGTTTTTGTTTTACTGGAGAGGAATCGAGGGTAAGCTTGCTTGAATCCCGTTCATGTAATTATGGCAATGGGCTGCAGAAATTCAAGTGCCACAACCAGCACTATCAATTTTTTTTGATTCTAACTGCTTTGGTATCAGTGTAGATTTGACTTAAGGCAGGCTCTGGCACAAGGACTCGCAGTAGACAGTTTCCGATTGCATGTGCTACATGACAGAACACATGTAATTTACAGGGCTTTGTGAAAAGGTGCTGAAAGCTAACTGTCCTTCCTGTTCTTTTTGGACCCGCAGTAAGCTACAGCCTGGTTGTGGTGCTAGGCTTGCATGGACGAAGAGTATGGAAGCCACTGTTAATCCTGTAGCATGCCTTAGTCTTCAGAAGCTTTATAAAAAGTAATTATTGTCTAGAGCAGCTTCAGAGAAAACCTCTGATATACAATAACCTGTACTTTCACCTGCTAACAGAAGCTATTGCTTTCCATTCCACTGTTTTTTTCTTTTTGCTGTGATGGTGGTGATCTTAAAAATGTTCAGAAATAGGTGTGATGTTTCTTTAAGATCTGCTGCAAAACTAAAGTTAGGACAGGGGTCTGGGAAACTTCTTTCTATATAACAAACTTGTAGAGAAGAGTTGGCTTAATTTTGAAATCAGAGGCCTTTTCAAAAATGTAACTGATGTGCTTACAAATTGAAATCCTTCCCAAAGAATAACAGAAATTCTCAGATGTAATTCATTTATTAGCTTAATTTATTAAACACATTATGTAAAATCTACATTGTTTCAGTTTTCATGTTTACACACAGGAAGATTTTTTATTTGTAACCATGATGCGACAAGAGCTTCCCATAGCCTACCTTTCTATGGGAGATAAAAACATTAAACACTACAAGAAATTCTGGCTCATTTTAACTTTTTCATTGCGTTCCCCATATTTCCCCCCACCAGGCCTGACACAAACAAATAGGCTTGTGTTCCTAAAGTACACTGTTAAACATTTCCAAGGGAAAGTCTGCTGATACAAACTCCTGGAAAGGGGGAGAACTCCTAGAGAGGTCTGCAGTTCTTCATTTGACAACAAGTTCTTAAATGACAGGTCAATCTTTTTGGGACACTGAATTGCAAAAATAACTTGAGTGCCACCACCTAAAAAGTGCTGATACACATGGCGCCATTTGTGAGAATTCAGGTACTTGTGGGATTTCTATTAGCACTAGGTAGAGGTATTGTGCAAAATCGTCAAATGATGCAATTTAACCCCACTTTTCAGCTGCTGGCACTGTACAAAGGGAAAAATAGGTATTAGCTACTTCTTAAAGCAACAGAACTACTCAAGCTACCTGCAAACTACAGTTAATGTACATGTAACTTTGTCATGCATCAAAATCCAAGCTTTTAAAACAGTATGTGAAAGGCCAGTATGGACATATTTATCCCCAAAGTTTGATAGTTAACTTATCCATACATAGCATTATCACACCATACCACATATCATATTATCTGCATTATCCTAAGATACAACTCTCCTCAGTACTTAAAACATTACCCTTTGATATACATCAACTAGTTTATATTTTTGTGGTTTTTTGTTGATTTGTTGGTTTTTTTTGGTTTTTTTTTTAAATTGTTACAGACAAAATGTTAGAATTATATAACCATTCTTTATGGTATTCAAACAAAACAAGATTCCAGATTTTTGTAAGAAAAATGGAATGTCCAGCTGTTTCTCCACTCTTAACAGCTTGCAGTTCCTCTTTAAAATGATATGGCACATCCTGTGAAATGAAACTAGCCACCAAAAAATAAGTCTTCTTAAAGCACATCAAGAATGTACACACACTAAAGTAATTTATATTGACAAATAAGGAATGTATTTTTTTAAGGCTGTGCTTCAGAAAGAGGATGTTTAGGGTTAAGTAGCCTTCATCAAGGCACAGAATTGGAAGAGTTAAGCACAGCTGTCTGTGGAAGAGAAGTTACATAGAACCACTAGTGAGGTGTGCATGCACGCCACAATTTTAAACTGCACAGCTGGTCTTTGTCATAAAACTGAACATGGTCTGAAGGAAGTGCTGTGACTTTTTAATGGCCACAGTTTCATGAAAAATATGGCAAGTATTTCCAAACATTTCACTATTTGAATAAATGAAATATTTAAAACAAAGTGCTTCACAGATCTGAACCCTGCATGGTTGTGCTGTCTGGTCTAGAAGCATTTTGTAGACATCATAGAAGCATTTCACATAAAACTGAAAATGTCATTCAGGTGAATAAGAAACAGGACATTTCCACAAACATTTCTAACATTTTTACACTTTCAAGTAGTTGAGTTCTCTCGGTCACTAGGTTTTGTAACAAATGTGTGCTACAGCAGTACAGGTTCGTGAATTTCTTCAGCAGCAGGGACCCTTTTCAAAGGGCACGTGGTCTTTTCGGGTTGATCTGTTTACTGGCCTGTTCTTCTTCTTGCAGAGCTGCCCGGAAAGATTTCACTTTGTCTTTAAGGAAAAAACAAAAGAATGAGTATTGATGTGCCTGTGCTGAGCAGATCTTGAAACTAAGCCCCGATTTTCCACATGCCAGCCCTAACAAATTACAAAAAACATTCCTCCACAAAAATAGCTGACACTACAAGCTACAAGAGAATTGAGCTAAAGCTGTATTCAAAACCATACAAAGAAGTTACTTAGCAACTTAGTCTCTTCTTGGATACTACTCCTGTCTCTAGGCAGAATAGATTTGTAAACTGCACAATTGTATTGCCAACATGTTAAACCGTTCACACTTCCATTCTACTTCTATCTTAGAGAATCTGGAGAGATACACGCCACCTATATCCTTTTCCTTCCCACCACCTTCCAAACCATTCTTAGGGACATCAAAATCATATTTAGTGTACAGACTGCTATTTCTGTACATTCTAAAACTCAGAAGAGTAAATTCTAGCCCCCTCTGTTTTCTTGATGTAATGTGAAAATGAATGTGAAAAATATTTGTAAGTAAGTTTTGGAACTTATTGTAAATGGTTAAATGCATTGTTCACTGGTTTCATTGCAATTCAGTAAGAATGGGAGAAATCTA